AGAGCTCTCTTCAGAGACTGTTACAGAACCAGCTCCACAGTCTAACCATCATTTATCCTCCACCCACTCAGCTGAAGTCACTGAGCACCTACTGTACTGGGCATAGAGGCTATAATGGAAGACAGACCTGCCCTCCAGAAGTTTACAGTCTACCAAGGGCAGCAACTCTTCATAGGAAGAAGAATGCCCGGGCTGGGAAGAATTCTCAGGACTCTAGTCAGAACTTACATCAGAAAAAAGATAAGCTGTTAACGTGCAAGTAACAAAAGCAGAAAAAGAACTGCATTTGCTTTAAGTCTCTAATGCTTTTAATTACTTCGATTTGCTTTCACTAAATCTTGAAAACCACTGTCTATTCATATTTTATTTTATCATTTTCCTATCCAGAAAGCATACATTTAGTCCAACTTACCCTCAGTAAAGGGAGAACCTATTACACCATCTCCTATTAAGTGCTTCCAAGCTGCTGGTGGAAAAGAATTCTAGACTCTAATACCGGAATTTAAAAACCTCAATGTCGCAACAGCTAAACTCTCTGCAAGGAAAAACCACTTTTCTTTAGCAAAAGGCTCTTCATGAAATTTGATAAAGGTTTCTATTTAATATAGAAATATTAATCCTTAATCCTGCTTAATTCCTGGCTAGAGCTTACAACACTGGAAAGTAAACTCTCTCATTCTCTTAGTCTGGAAAATACAAGGATGTCGATGTATTTGCCATGTTTATCATCAAAGGGGTGCAGGTGTCACAGATCAAGTACTTACAATGGGAGAATTTTGACAAGGAAATTGGCTGGTGTTTGTCGGCACCAGCTACACAGGAACAGGATCAGAGAGGTTAGGAAACCTTACTACCACTACCTGTCACACAGCCAGGACTCACACCCAGGCCAGTCTGATGCCAAATCAAATACTCTCCCCCACCTCTTAGAATACACTGAAGTGTCACCCAGGACATGAATGTCAGACAAAATACTAATAATCTTAATTGGATTATCTTCTCATGTTTCATACACACTCTGGTGACAACTCAACACTCAGCCAGCAATCATTCTCTTAGGAATTTATCTCCGTATTTCTGGTACCACAGTAAGACGAGAGTGCTAATTCACTCTGGGTAATTAAAAGTCACTTCTCCTGGATGACATTTCCTAAACTGACCTCTTGGGGCATGGCAAAATGGGACCTGGGAACGTGGTACCTGCATCAAATGTCCAAGTCAACAAGCATCCAGGAAGCAGAATCTTTCACTGAAAACTCATGCTTGGGTTCATAACCTGGGGGACGGCGTGAGGGCCTCCCTTGGTACATTTCATAAGGAAGCTGATGGGAAGGACTACAGCAAAGACACTGAAACGGAGCCTTAGGCCGTGGTGCATCAGGTTCAGAGAACACATCTGCTATGTGCTTTTTCTTTTTCTTTCTAATTTTGAATATCTTTAAAACTTCCTCTAAACTTGTTAATTGGTAGACTGTATACCAAATCCTTAAAAGAAAAAAACCACTTTCATAATTTTCACAATCTACTGGGGAAAATATTTTACTTAATAAATTAGAAATTATCCAATTCTGTCAAGGATCTTCTAGAGCAACATTGTCCAATGGAAATTTTACATGAGCTACGTACGTTACTTAAAAATTTTAGTAGCAACACTAAAAAAGCAAAAAGAAATGAATTTTAATAATATAGTTACCTCAAATATCCAAAATACTACCATCTCAACATATCATCAACGTAAAAAGTATTAAAAATATTTTACATCCTTTTTTTCTAATTCTAATACTTCAAAATGCATATTTTGCACATCTCAAGTCAGGCACTAAACTTTCATCAGAAATACTTGATCTCATTTAAACTTGATAAAATTTACTGTTGAAAAAGCAGATAGCCAAGTTGTCCCAAATATACTTAAAAGTTTTCCAGTAAATGAATTAACTATCAGTTCTAAATTTTAAATAAACTCAAATTAAATGAAATTAAAAAGTCAGTGCGTCTGATGTACTAGCCATATTTCAAGTGCTCAATGGCTATATGTGGGAAGTGGCCACCATATTGGACTATGCAAGACGAGAGCTTTTACGTTGCTCATTTGGTCAATTCTAGTGAGAATTCCCCCTTACTAGAATTTCCCCAAATGGGGAAAGATCCCTTTATACTCATAAAGGAAACCCAGGAAGACTAATTCCCAATGCTCTGCTCTTCTGATGAGCAAGTCCCACTGCAGGATATGGTCACTCTCAGTTTACTCAGGACAAAGATGATCTTCTCTGGTCTAAACTAACATACCATGATATAAGAGCAGTTCAATAAGCCCAAGTTCAAACTTGAGAGATTTTAAAACCATGGATATTTTTTCAAGTCAGATTTTCTGCCTCGCTTCTTGTGTCCTGGTGAATTTATCAGCACATTTATTGAGATTCACTAGGTGCTAGTTCCATATGCCCCACTTTACACACAGTACGTCATTTAGTCTCACAGCAATCCTGTGAGACAGGTGAGAGCCAGAGAGGCTGTTAATAATTTGTTCAAGATCATACACCTAATTATAAGGTGTAGAGCTGGGATTCAAGCCCAGAAAGTCTGACTAGATTAAAAAAAAAAGTCTGCCCACTAGAAGCCCCCTAATACTAACCACACACCCTAAATTCACACTTTTCAAAGGCTCCTCACAATCCTCACGGAGTAGGCAGGACAGAACAGAGCAGCCATTACCTAGTCACTTTACCAGGAGGCATAGGAGGTACCCAGCAGGGCAGTTCCTCCACTCCATGTCCAATGCTCTTGCCAAAATACCTGGTGTCAGGGAGCCAGGCAGGGGGCACTTGCTGTCTGCTATGAACCACACACATTGCCATCTTTGCCTCGTTCAATCTGCCAAACCACTTTGGGTAGAAGGGGTATCCACACATAAAGAGATGGGAGTTCCATCAGGTAAAGAAACATGCCTTAGGTCTCACAGCTAACTCACACCACAGTCGGAATTCCAGCCCAGGTCTGTGGCCAGCAGAGGTGGAGTCTCAGCCTAGGACCTCCTGATGACAAGGCTCTCCCCAAACCACAATGGCTCTCTCTGCTCAAGAGAAACCTTCCACCAAGTTGATATAATGTGAGTGACCGTATATAATAGAGAGTAGGATCAGATTTCTCCATAATTCAGATACTGTTAATTCAGAATGGCTGTTCTTGTGTCTGTCTAACTTGGTAAAGTTTTATTTTACTTGTATGGGATTAATTCACAATTTAAAAAAAAAAAGGCACTGAGAAGGCTGGGTTTATCTGGTTAAATCTTTAGAGAGGGGAATTTCAAGGGTGAACACGACTTAACTCCTGAAGCCACTGGCAGAATGGAATTGGCTGTTCCCCAGAGCTGGATTAAACAGGCCAGCCTGGCAGCAATCCAGGGCGACAACCCACAATGGGGGACTAAACCATCACTGGAACACATCAGAAATATGGAGCCACTTAACTTGGAGGTTACATGCGACTCCTTACATAACGGGCAAAAAGGCAATCAGGCCTGTTTCCATTCAAGCAGACAGTGCTCTGAGTGGAAACAAGCTCACTCCTCACCAGCACAGACTGTCTCTGTTGAGAATATTTTCCCTCATAGAACTGTACAAGTAAAGACAGACCTCACTACCGACCCCAATGTCACCTGGCTGGCAGGCATCTGAAATTCTCGATCTGAACAACGCATGGCAGAGTGTTATTATTAGCCAAATTTTAAAGAAGTTTACAAACACCTGGTTCAGGAAATCACATGTAATAAATTCCTTATTTTCAACATACAGGAAAAGGTATATATTTTTTATTAATAGTCTTTATTAATAGAAAATCAGTTTCTCTCATCCTTACTAAATAAACATGGAGCAGATATTTAAAGTTATCAGTTAGATAAGGTGCCAGTGAATGATCAGCCTTCTCAGGACACCCACTTGTCTTGGGTCAGCCCTGGCGTTCCCATGAGAAGAACTTTGCTCAAATAATTTCATAACTCACAAGTGTTTACAGTTCCCATAAAATAAAAAAAAAAAGAATCAAAGTTCCTAATCTAACCCAAGCAGTAGTAGTTGTTAGAACAATTTTATATCATTTGAGAAATCAATAGTTCAATTCATGACATAAGAGCAATTTTCCTTCCCCAGAATCCGTAAGCTAAAAAGATCACTTTTCCACAAATGAGATAATGTCCGTGAAAATACTCTGCAAATCCCCTGTGCATGGCAGACTCTTTTGGATAGGGCGTCAGTCAGTCCCAAATCCATAACACGGACTGGCTACCTTAGCCTGAGCTGCGTCCTCAAGTTCATAACAAGGCCTTACAGGCACAGGCTGAACAGGCCTCTCCCTTGCGAGAAGCAGAGCTGGATTCAAGTCTTTAGGGACAATTATTGAACTTCCACTATCTTGATTTTCTTGAATGCATACTGTAGGAGATTACTCAACCCCTATTATTGTTACTAATATTTTCCCAAAGTGACCTTTATAAATTAAAATCTTAAGAGGTAATCATAAATCACCTTTTAGTCAACTGTTTTCAATTCTTATTTAGGCAATTCCTCTACCTGAGTTGTCATCAAGTAATAAAATTGGGTAATTTGAATTGGCCATCTCTACTTCCCCTTTCAGGGAGAAATATAACAAACGGTGAAATGGTCCAAAGAGAAGCTCAAAACGAAAGACAACTTAAAGTCAGCCATGCCCACTGTAAAGAGCTCTGAGACTTGTTTATAAATAGTGACAGGACAAATCATGTCAGAATTGAAGCATAGAAACTATAGCATTAAATTTAATACCATTTATGAAACCTTACAGGGTCCTTTACAACATTCACGTATGCTCATCCAAGTGGTGTTTCTAGCCAAAAAAAACCTAGTGTTTACCATTCAGGGTCCAAAAGTTTGAAACACTGCACTTCTTTCAAGAAGTAAGTTGCTACCCACCTGTAAGTGTTTCCAAAGAATCATTGACAATATGGGTATCTGATTTCATTTACTTACCTATTATATCTGCAGGAATGCTGGGAAGTCTCAATGAACAACTTCAGAAAAATGCCACCTAGAGGAACAAATTGAACAAAACGTTAGATTTTTTTTTTAAACACAAAGACTTATCATGCAATTTTATGTCTCATTAAAATATGTGATGTTTCAAATATTGGTCCCCAGGCTCCATATAGTTCAACTTGTATTAGAACACAGCCACCCCTTCCCAGGACCACTGACACACTAACACAGAGTCCAAACCACTGAAGAACCAGAAAAAATAAGATGGCAGTGGAAAAGTTGCAGCCCTGAACATGCACCTTATTATATTCTTTCCTTTCCCTTCACAAAGGGACCAACTTGAAAATACAACTTGTGTCCTTGAGGGCACTTGATGAACAACCATAAAAGGCTCAAATAATCTAGAAACAAATTAAGGAACGAAATATGAAATTGCAAATGATGAAACTATCCTAGTAGCACTTTATATCCTTTTCAGTTACTCTGTTAACTTTTTTAAAAGCTAAATTTGCAAGGATGTCAAAGATTGGAGAAATGGAAAAATGGTCATTAAAACTCTAACATAGTAAACAGGGGAATACAGAAGCAAGACTTTATTTAATGATCAGTTCGTTTATTCAGAAATCAAGTATTCCTTTGAGTGTTCTCAAAGCCTTCAAGTAACCTTAGAAAATTAAAAGCCTATTAATATGTTCACAGAGAATCCCAAAATGTCTGTTCAGCATTGCTTTGAAATATTAAACATAAACGGAACAAATTTCTAACATAAAATATCAAAGTTACCATTTGTTGGAAATCTACTGTGCACCCAGGACTATGTGGCATCAGATTATAACCTTTCCAAACAGGCATATGTCCATTAACAGATGAGGAAACTGATGCTGAAAGAAGCAGAGAACCTTCCCCAGTTTGGAAATCATGCTCTTTTCACCCTGTCACGTGGCCCCTTGAAGGCACCTTCTACTCTACATAGTCTATCATCACCTCCCCAAATAGAAAGCTGACATTCCTTAATGCGAAAACTCTGGAAAAGAAATTAACCAGCAGACAAAATGAACTTGTGATTTTGCATGTTTAAAAATAATTTCTTCATTTCAAAATGATTATCCTAATCATGCTATTTAAGACTATAATGTAAAATAGTACACGAGTAAAAATTTAGAAATAAAGGTTTAGAGTTCAAGAAATATTAAAAACACAATTAGGAGGGAAGAAATATTTTTAACTCCAAGTAAGATGGATCAAATAGAAAACATTCAACAGCCTCAACTCTACTGATAAACAGGAAAACAGGAAAAGGCCACCTGACCATTTTGTATAATCAAACTTTCAAATATACACATCATCAAACTCTGATAATGAAAGTCTGTAATATCAGGCCACGAACATCCACACTTATATCCAGATAACTAGTTTAACAGCAGCAGCATCAGTGTTAATCCAAACTCGACCTGAGGTTGAAAAGCCAGTATGGGGCTCAGAGGCCCCTCGATCTAAAAAAATCATTTTAGTTCAGTAACAAACCTGAAGACACTGGACCATAGTCACTGGGTTTCACTTTACAAAAATATTGAATAAATAACAGAATTCTGAACTCATAAAGTCCTTTGTTATAATAGCTTAGGGGAATTACGACTTTTAAAAAATGGTTCTTTATAAGTTAATTGCTAGTTAAATTCCAAGCATTTCCCACAACTTTATTTTACCCCTTAGGGAAAGTCATGGGAAGTCATGATCAGTATTTTTTTCTGGAAACCGCTTCTGTGAAATAAGCCACTAGGATTATTATGAATGGGTCTGTTATAAACAGAGTTCTTGATCAACATCTCATTATGTGTAAAAGCTAAATGAGTCACAAAAATACTTGAATTAGCACAGTCCAAAATCAAAGATAACATTTTAAAGATCTCTTTTGTTACATACAACACAAGCAAAGCTCTGGACAATTAAGACAGATCTCAAGACCCTAACAATAATAGAGAAGGCAGGGCCGTATCTTGAGTCCCACTTAAAGCATTCCAAACTCACACTACCAGTAAAAAGTACTTCCTAGCAGGGCCGGCCCTGTGGCCTAGTGGCTAAGTTCAGTGCACTCCCCTTCAGTGACCTGGGCAAGGTTCCCGGGCGCGGATCTACACCACTCATTGGTGGCCATGCTGTAGCAGTGACCCATATACAAAAATAGAGGATGACTGGCACAGATATTAGCTTGGGTAAATCTTCTTCAGCAAAAAAAAAAAAAAAAAAAAGTACCTGCTAGAATAAATAAATTTCTGCCTAAGTTCTGAAGAAAAAAGGCATAAGTTTTCAGTATCATGATTAAGCTTTTCTGACAACGAAGACACCCCTTGTGAAACCACCAAAGTGATCAGAAAGATAAAACACACCAATTCTGTTATTGGGTTTAGGTCAGTAGATAGGGCATTATAGTTATTATTATTTTTTTTAATGCTATTTCAGAGCCAGCCCCGTGGCTTAGTGGTTACGTGCGCACGCCCTGCTGCTGGCGGCCCGGGTTTGGATCCCGGGCATGCACTGACGCACCGCTTCTCCGGCCATGCTGAGGCCGCATCCCACATACAGCAACTACAAGGATGTGCAGCTATGACATACAACTATCCACTGGGGCTTTGGGGAAAAAAAGGAGGAGGATTGGCGATAGATGTTAGCTCAGAGCTGGTCTTCCTCAGCAAAAAGAGGAGGATTAGCATGGATGTTAGCTCAGGGCTGATCT